AAATCCCCAATATTTTACTGCTATCCTTCAACACATAGAAAAATATCCATGATCCGTGACCTCCATGATGACGGTTCAAGCAAAATACAGAGGATCAATGCATTGGCTAAAAGTGGAGACTTTGGGGGTGAGTTTGATCTCCTGTTGGTAATTCAGGATATCAGAAGCCTGAAGCTACTGGTGCAAGGATCCTGTCCTGTTTACTCTGTGTCCCAAGGCCAGGTGTGTGCTTCTTGTCACTAATTTGTATTTCTGATTATGATCCCCTGATCTCTGGCATTCTTGGTCTGTGTGGGTTAATGGATAATGGATGGCTCAGCCCTGCCATCAGGGCTGTGGTACCCGGGTCTCATAGGAGCTGTTGTTGTTTCTGAAGGCAAGTGTAGACCAACACAAGGACTTGGTGCTAAATACCTCTGGGCCATTTCCCTTCTTCTATCATTTAGTGGTACCCACGAAGGCTGGGACTGCTGTTGGCAGCAGCACTGTAATGTAAACACCGTTTTTAATTCACTCTCACCAGTATAACTAAGGAAATGTGTGATCGTAACCAACAACAAACATTCAAACCGTAAATTATTCACAACATCAAGAAGTGTTTACAGTACCATTGTGCTTTACATTGTCTGAGGTCTCGACAGGCAGGAGAAATTTACCATTGAGGGCTCTCAAGTCAGGCAATCCCATTTGAAATATTAGCAAAAAGATTCCTGTTTTTAGCGATCAGCGAAAGATACTCAATAGCCCACTATTCTTCTTAGTTTAAAATAACCAGTGCAAAAAGCATTTCTACTTGACCATATCTATTTCAAATATTTCAAATATTTTCAAAGCGCTTTCCCCCTATTCAAACCTTCACTCAGCAGAATGCATCAGTATTGTTGACATTGTCTTTCACATGATTGAAATTGGTTCATAGTTATAATTCCAAACAATTTACTCTTGTTTACATCTGTGTTCAATGAGTGTGAGCACCTTAGACATTCCAGTGTGAGGAGTGGATGTGGCTTAGTCCTCAAGGAGGGGCCCTGCGTGTTCTTAACTCTCAATTTCTTTTTCTTTCTTTCTTTCTTTCTTTTTCTCGCTCTCGCTCTGTGCACACAGGGTTTACTGGATAGCATTTACGAATTGAGAATAATTTCTTCTCTGTAACCCAGGTGCATTAAGACCAAGTCGAGGACCACTATCATTGGATCATTTAACTCGGCACAAAGCTATGACCTTCCCATGTGCATGGCTCACTTGCACTCTTTGATACTCCCTGTTGGGGGAATGGAGTGCACATTATTATTTGTTGAGTATCACATTATGAATGTAAGGTGAAAATCCCCCACTGCACAGTCATAAATAGGTCCCGATCTGATCTATTCCACTAATGAGCGTGCATCCACACTGCACCACTAGAGGATCATAAACTTGGTAAAGGAAGCCCTTCGGCACTCCCGAAACCAGGTGTTCTTCTGGCAGAACGAGGGGATGGTGAGGGCCTGCCTCAGGCTTGCGTAAACTAGGATCAGAGACTACATACTGAGGGGCAAGCTGAAGTTCGGCTCCACCGTGGCAAAGGTCATACTCCGGTAGGAGCCGCTCCAGCACAAACGTCTCAGGGCGCACCCAAAACTGACTGAAATAAAGGGTACAGAAGGACACTTGAAATGTAACCAAAGAGCGTCCCGAAAACGTATGTACGGTAAACGTGTGTGTACGGTGCACATTGGGGCAGTGCCTTCTGAAAGCGGCAAGTGCACCTTATCAGGGTGCGCGCGGGCGCGCACATGGATGTGGTATATACGGGGACAACGCCCGACTGTTTTAAAGGGAAGGTCCCAAAAAACGTGGGCACAACCTACATGGAATATACCATAAACAACGGAATGTTTTTTTGTATTGGGAGAAAGGAAACAAATTGTAACAGAAGATGTTGTACGTTGTGTTTGTTTTAGATTTCTAAAAAATATATTTTTAGAAAAAACTCTCTGAGTGGTTTGACTCTCACTGTTGAACAGACAGGGTCAACAGTGAAGCGGCAATCAGCAGCTTCTGATTAATAGGAGATCTGCTGATTGTCCTCTCCCTGAATCATTCCCTTGTCTTGCGTTTATAGCACCTGGCAATAAAGCTCACTTACATAGATTATACACCACAGAAACAGGCCATTTGGCCTAACTGGTCCATGCTGGTGATTTTATTCCATATGAGCCTCCACCCACTCTTTACTCCCTCCCACACCCTTCTATTCCCTTCTCCCTCTTGTGAAAGTCTAGCTACCTCTTAAATACATCTATACCATCTGATTCAGGCATTTTCACTACCCTCTGTGGGAAGTAGTTCCCCTCAAATTCTCTTTTCGATCCCCTAGTCGCTATCTTATACTTATGTTTCCTGGTACCCAGCAAGTAAGAACAGCCTATTTATACATTGTGGCTTCTTTCTTAAAGTTCAGTGTTAAAAATTAAAACTCATCGAATGAATTGTTCTTTCCCAGTACCTCAAGACTGTGGTAGTTATTACTTCACTTGTTCTTTTCTCATACAATATCGACATAACTAAACCAACCCACTTCATCTTGGTTATCTTATTTCCCTGTTGCCGTTTTTAAATCTCCAGAACCCTGGGCCTTGGCTTTTCACGTACGTTCGCAAAAACAAATGGACAGCTCTGTTAAATGGGCGCTGTTTTCAAAAAAAGAGAAGAGTAATGTCATTACTGTGTTGTAACTGGCACCTCACTTGATTTTGACGCGATTTATTATTATTATTTGCATTGTATGTCTGTAACTCACAAAAGAAAGATTTAGCCAAACACTGTTTAGTGAAAGGCAGTATTCGTTTATTGATGTAGGGATGTTAACTGATTTGAATTCCTGTGTTCCCCTCTCTTCCTCACCCAGAAAGGCTTTGTCCCTTCACCCAGTTAAAGATGCTTTGTTCCTGAGCGGCTGATAGTATCACTCTGTTACTGGCTGCTGACAAGCTCAGCTCCTGGAGGCCCATAGCTAAATGATCTGAGAGCCCAGCCTGCACTGCTCTGGAGGAGGTTGCTGCATGTCTGCTTTGTGCTGCCCTCTAGAACCAGCAAGAGGGAGATCAGTTACACACTGGCAAGGTGAACAGGCTTTGTGTAGTACCATCAACAGGAGCACTGGGTCTCCCATCTCATGGTACTTCAATTCCCAGTTTTGATGTAACACTGGGAGGAGTGAGCAACCTCACCCTAGATTCCTGCCTCCTCTACTGACTTTCTCTCTCTCTCACTCTCTTTCTGGGGATGGGGTGGTATTGGGTGGGGGGGGGGGGGGGGTGGGCGTTGGGTATGCACAAGGGAAATCCTTATAAGAGCCTCCCACAGCTGGAGGAAGCCTGATGTGTGTCATATTTGTTAATTATAGAGAAGCTGTACAAAAACCACAATAAAAGGCCGTCAGCCCACAAAACAGGATATTGTAACCCTGCTCACTTACCAATCCCATCTGATGGGGCCATCTCATCTCCCAGCATATACTCCAGCACACCAATTAGTGTCAATTCAGGCACTCTTCACTGAGAGCTCAGCAGCACAGTCTTGTGTCAGCTAATGGCATGTGTAAGGCAGTCAAACCGCAGGGACCCTCAGCACTGGAGGAAATAGGGCCTCACAGGGCTCACAGCTTGAGATGATCAATAATACATTGAAGCACCGCTTGGAAAAGCATTGATGGGATCCAACGTAATGGAGGAAATCGAGAGGGGGAGGGCAAGGGACAATGCTTGTAGCTACATGCTGCTACATGATGTTTTCAAAGTAATGCAAGGACTATTTTTTTTAAAACTCGCTCCCAGCTGGGTTGTCGGCTTCCAGAGAAATATTTAACCCTTCAAGTGCATTAGATCATGCCGTGTTAAGGATATTTTGTTACTGTACAGAATCAGGTTAGGGCCAAATGTGTTGTAATGAAGGGAGTCAACTGCAACTCAGCTGGAAGATATATTGAGTTGTGTAGTTCAAAATAACAATATGGCAGCACCGTGCTTCTTCTCCCCAGGAAAGGGGGAGGATAAGTCAGAAAGGACACAGCCCACGGCCATGCTCATGTACTTCTGCACATGATTTCTGCGCAATGTAGGAAGTTCCCAAGAATCTCAGCATGGCTCCGTTCAGCATTCCCATGTGAGGTGTGATTCGACGAGATAATAATATTAATCCTTGTATTCAATATTTTGCCTTATCATGTCTTCGAGACGTCTCAAAGCACTTCACAGAATATACTGAAAAGTGAATTGACTGTATATTTTTGTGGGTAAAACGCGGCAGCCAATTGCACACAGCAGTGTCCCAATAGAAAGGAAAGTGCACTATCTGCCCTGTTCCATTAATGTCGCCAATCTTAGAAACCATGAGTGTGATTTCTCACTCCAGGCTCTCTTTGGCCTCTGAGCGAGCTTACCAATTACTGCTGAATTGTGGGCTATATTGCACTGTGAAATTTTCAGCTCCGAAGGTTAAGATTGCCTAAAATTCATTTGACATTGGATCCATACAATCGGTGGAGAAAAGAAATCTTCATCACTTCAGCCTATATTGGATTTGAACCAGGTCCTAGAGGTGGTTGTGATGACCACAGAACACCATCCGTAGCTTCTTCAATTCTCAAAGGGCTGATATTATTGGTGAGAAACTATCTACTGATGGGAGAGTGGATAGAGAAGATAAAGGAGGAAAAAGCATTGATTTTTTCCATTAGAGCAGTTGAAATTCTCCCATTTTAAGAACATAAGAATTTGCTATGCGAAAGAAGATCAAGACCCATCTAGTTTGTCTTCCACCATCCTGGCAGTCGCTTGACAAGTCGTGTCCCAAACTAAACATTTTGAAAGATTGTCTTGACTTAGACTCATTTCCAGACTAGTGCCACCTAGAGTAGCAGTGCTGATGACCACAACCCACAAACCTTCCTTTCCCAGTGAAACAAATGGAATTCTTTGTTACTAGAAACTCAATCTCTCAATTTTTTTTGTTTCCAGCTACACAAACAGGGTCGTCGGTAATGGACTTAAAGCACAGGCCAATAACCCAGAAGTGAAAGTCAGAGGACCGGATCCTGTGATCAAGCAACTCATCAGCAAGCTGTTGTACGTCAATAAGGTAAGACTTTGGAATACACTAATGGTCACTCGCTGCACGAACCGATTACTGAGAGATTACACTAGTTCGGTTCGGTTACACTCATTCAGTTCGGTTGATAGATTTGAGAGAACCAGGAACCCATTTTGGAAACACAAACCCTGTTTCAAGTCCTATAGTAAAATTATTCCATAACTTTATGAGAGTTTGATACCATTAATACACTAGTTTTCTCCAGTGGCAGATTTAGTAATCAGGTTAGAGAGAAGGGTTGAGATCCAACCAAACAAGCGAAAAGAATCTGGTTGAGCCAGATGTATTTTTCTGTAGCTGAAACGTGTTATGTTCCTTGTAATTTCCTTGAAATGAGAGATGGATATTCCAGATCTGGTTCACATGGTATTGGTTTTGCAAGTGAGGTTGCTAAGGCACTGTGAGATTGCCCCAGTGATTAAAGCAAGCAGAAAACCCTCTTCAGTTTTTCCATTTGTCTGTATCCTTCTTTAAGTCCTTCATTGTCAGCTTTCTCCATCCTTTTTCATGCTTGTGCTTACTCTCACCTTCTCCTTCTGTCTGTCTGTCTGTGTGTGCGTGTGTGTCAGTCTCTCTCTCTCTTTTACTCACTCTCACACATACACTGTCTTTTCAATTTCTTGTAAATCTCTCCCCTTCCTTATCTGGTCAAGTAGCTTGCTGGCAGGCCTCGCACATAAAGAATGTCCTTAGACCTGTTTCCTTTCTCTTTTCTCATTTCTGTTGCTGACGGACACTATGGCTCCCTGCTCATTGTTCCCATATAGCTGTGAATCTGTCATGCTCTGTTTTTCTCTTTTTCTTTAACAATCCATACACAAATGAATTTGTTCCTATAAAATTGCAATCTATATGGATTTGGAAGTGTAGGAACAGGGACAGACAGGTGAGAGATTATGAGGCTGACAATGTGACCATGTGACTGGGTTTGCTATTGACGCGTTGCAATGTTTTTGTTACAGATTGTTACAAAGGGATTTCCACATTCAATGTAACTTTTGCTCAGTATTCAAAGTCTCCCATTCTGACGTTTCCTTTTTCATGAATAACTAATTTGTACCATTTAAGCTTTCACTGCTGGAGGCCTATTTATATTGTGCCTCCAGTAAGCAGAGAAGCAGCAGAACATCTGGACTGGGAATATTATTTGTCCCAGCCCCAGACATCGATGTATGTAGGATACTATGTCACACAGGCACGTGCTGAATCTCTTACTATCAGATCCTCCGCATTCATAGGCAACTGTTTCCTGTAAGCAAGATAGCTTCTCGTGGTTGTGGTTTAATTTCTCCTGAACAAACACAACAAATCACTGCAAGGAACTGGAGTCTTCAGTGTGTTAACTGTATGTAGCTTGGCAGGTTCAGTCTCAGGTTGGCACTAAAGGCTCTTCACTATCAAGGCCCTCCATGGCTTTGCCTCCTCCTACATCTCTGACCTGCTGGCCCCCTATCAACCTGTCTGCTCCCTCTGCTCCAGGTCACCCGTGCAACCCGCCCTACCATCAGCGGCTGGGCTTTCAGCCTCTTTGCCCCCACACTTTGGAACTCCATCTCACAATCCCTTTGCCTTGCTCCCTCTCTTGCCTCCTTCAAGGCACGAATCAAGACCCTCCTTTTTGACTGTGCCTTCAGCCGCCCTGCTACCCCCTCAGCCCTCCCTCATCCCAACCTTGTCCCCCACGCTCAGGTCCTGATCCCTGACTGTTCAGCGCCTTGGAACGTCCTCCCGTCATGAAAGGCACTTTACAAATGTAATTTTGCAATTTGTTGTTGTACGTTGAGTGCATTGCTCCAGAGATAACAAGGAGAAAAAAAATCTACCAGAGTCAAAATCTCCAGATTAACTCCTGCTGAAAGATGCATCTGTGCGGAACATGGGTGAGGATAGGAACAGAAATGATTTGATTTTGACATAAAGGTCACCAGGAAGCAGGACAAACTTCATGGTGTTATCGACTCAAAACAAACGGTGGTTATATTTGAGAAAGGGACGTATTGTATCAAGGTAAAGAATAATGCAACTCTTTTTCATTTTTGTCTCTGTGTCACCCTCAAATATTCCTAGGGTGTGTTATATAGTTTTATAGGTTAGAAAAAGAGTAAAGTTCCATCGAAGCAGAACCTGCACAGCTGCCATTCTTGTTTCCTAAATTAGCCGTCTTTATGGCCACCAAATTAAATGGCCAATTAGTGCAACATTGAGAGTAGATTGTATGCTAGACATAAGCCTATTAGAAACCAAGTTCAGACTTCTCCCTGCACTTTTTACGTAGGCACTGTACAGCAAGTAGAGAAAGGAAACTTTGCTCCTATTCAACTAGGTTGGATTTTGCTTGGAATCCAGAGGTGAAACGTCAATATGAACGACCTTGTATATCATATGTTCCAGGAAAATAAGGTCATTTTAGAATATTTTTGAACCCTATGCCACCTGCCTGTTGAAAAGCTCTTTTGGTTTACACGTTTCCAATGAAACCTAATTGAAAAGCTACAATAAAACTTATTGGAAAGGAATTCGATTCATTGACTTTTTAAACAACTTACTATATAAAAGTCAAAGTTTATATACCCCTTTCTTGGATAGTAATTCATCTTCAATAAATCAGCACCTCGTGGTGTCCGTGCTCCATCCACCAGAACTCGAGAATATGTAAATGTTTCTGTTTCTGATAATCATAGAATGGGTTTAAGTGGAATTCTGTTTCATGCGCCTCATCCTTCCGAGATATGCATGGTTTGACATTTTCAAGTAATTGAAAATGTGTCCAGGTTCTTAATCTGTGGTGATGTAAGAGCAGACAGAAGGTCACACTTCGGGAAGCTTTTTAAGAGAGTCGCTCTACAGCTTAAATATAAAACACTAATGAGAACATTTCAGAACAGAAGTTGACAGGTGAGTAGGATAAACTTCATTTGAAACAAATATTCATATGCACAGTTCAGTGGAGATAAATGCTTGTCTGGTTCAAGCACAAAAATAAGTCTTTGTATTCACTCCCATTGTAGCGACTTAAAGAGGGCCCACCCTTTCCATTCATTTTCATTTTATATAAACGTTCCAGCAGACTCTATGCATTCCCATTTATTTTATAGAATCCCAATGGAGCCAAACCCCTTCCTGTTCTCTCCCATTGTATATAAGTCCAATAGAGAAAACTGCCTCCTATCCTGTTGCCCTTTGGCTCAGGTGTTCTACCCATATCATAGGGTCAGAAATTTAATGACTGATTCCCAAATGCTGCTAAGGTTGCATCACTGTCCACTGGAGGCAAGTTTTGCAATAAATTAACTTTCCCCAGATTTAACAATCATGAAATAAAAAGCAATGTGAATGGTGTCTCAGTGATCTGAATATGCTACCAGCCATCTTTGTGACAAAAAATAATCTTTTTATTAAAATGGGACATAAAATCGTGCTCTTTGGTACCACAATAGGATACGATTTGCAACAGAATTTGTTAATAGTGACATTCCTGAAACCACACTTTACTCTTTCAGTGCCTTCAGAAGAATAGAGGAGAAAATTGGATAGAGGGAAAAAGAGTTATCTGTGAAATGAGTTTAGTGGCATCTCAATCCAGTTCCTGTTGGGCTTCCAACATCAAACCACCTGTAAATTGGAAAACTCACAAAGCGGAACCTTGAGATCACTGGTGTGGAAAATGACATTCATGGATTAGTGTGTGAGCTTCTGACCTTGGGACTTAGACATTTGAGTAGACTAAAAGGACCTTCACTCTTGTGTCAGCATTAACCACTCCTAGATCAGATGCAGTAATGCGCTTCATGTGGTGCAGATGTGACAGAGTTCCCAAAATCATTGCGGCCCTGTTCACAGCAGTAACATCCTTCAACTTGATGAGCACAAAATTGACCCAAAAAACGCTTTATTTATAAAAAAAATAAAATCCTGATCTGACATGTTATTGATGATACTAACAAATATTATTTATTATGGATCTTTAACATCTCCCTGAACAGACAGAACTTCAGTTTGGAATCTCCTCTGAAGAACGGCACCGCCAACAATGTAGCACTCGCCCAGCACCACATTGGAGTGTCAGCCTAGACTATGTGAGTTGATGGTCCTGTCAGTGAACTAGTGATTACTGCTGACCCGAGCGTACGGGTCCTTTTATTCTGCTCAAACATTTTATTCTGTTTGAACCTACAACCTTTTGACTCAGAGGCAAGTGTGCTCCCAACTGAGCCAGGCAAATGCCTATTAATGTAAATAATATTGCCATTGCTGGTGTTAATTTAAGAATGATTTAGTAAATCGTCAAAGCATAAAAAACACAGAATTGCTGTAACTACTTTGGCGTACACGATATCAAAGGACTTACTTCAGGGGCTTACTCTGCCTCTGTACAAAGCCTCTGCTTATCTAAAATGGATGAATGTAGAATTCCATGGGGAGGAAACTGAGATTATTGAAGGGAAGTAATTACCTGCGATTCATGTCAGGTAAGCATACACCATTTACGCTGCTTAACTCCTGTGCTGGAGCTCTCTTTGAGGAAGACAGTTTCTTGAAATAAATACTAAAAGACAGAAGGGGTATATACTACAAACTGCTCGGGAAACCACAAGAGAAACTCCACTCTGTCTGCTACCTTTAATTTACTGCTCCTTCCAGCTGTCCAAAGTATTTGTTTTGACGCCTGATTCAACAGTGAGAGAGAACTTTCATTGCACGAGAAGCGCTTGACAAGGAATTACTAGCAGGTGTAGTGACTTTTCGTCAATCAGCATTATGGCCATCCCATCATCAAATGTCCTGCATGCAGTTTTGAAATGAATGACCAATTAATCTGGAGGATTGTTGGCCAGGAGAATGTTTTTTTCCCCCAAAAAAGCAACCTCCCCTTTTTTGAACACTGGTCTTGACACCCACCTGAAAACAGGCAAACAGGAAAGGGTAGGAGAGGGTAGCAGTCAAGGGTTAAATAGTGTAAAATTCGGGTGAAAGCTGAATAATGTGAT